ATTACAATTCACTTCCTAAGGGGAGGAAATAAAGGATGGGCTTCAAACAGATGTGAGGGCAGACTATTCCCATGGTTTAATAGATGCAAAGGCACTAAACATCTGTGCACATCACACACAACAAAATAAAAGAGCTTCTGTGACTGAAATACAGTCATGATCTTGGATGCCAAGACTGGAATTATTGGCAGTGCGGCAGTATTATGCATGCCCAAAATGTACACATGGTGCATTTATCTTTTTTCTCGGTCTGAGCTCTGACACGACGACTGCAATTAATTGGCCAGTTAATCACTACCAGCATGTAATAAGCCATTAGCACCTGTATCTGTGATCTGCTGGGATGGTTTTGTTTCCCTTCACCCTTTCGTCCCCCTTTCCAACAAGTGGGTGACAGCGGATATCCTTTAAACATCCATTAAATGAAGCCCTTCATAAATCCATCAGCACCAGCGAGCGGAAACTACAAAAAACTTCACCCTGCCACAGGTTTTTGCAGAGAGACCATTTGGTAACCCAGTAATGATGCACCAGTGAGTTCAGAACATACATAGTTTGGGGAGTATGGGTTCATAATCATGATGGTAAATATAAGGGATATATGCTTAGTTAACAAAGATTATTTCTTCCTCTTCAGGCCAAGCGAAGTATATTTTATCTTGGTATGCATTGAAAAGTAGACAAATGTGGTTTAAGATGAATGGCTACTAGGGAGAGGCTGTTACCATTGGGGGCACCCCATGAAATGCCCTCCCCAGAAAGCTCATCCAGAACTTACACTGTGAGTTTTCTTTTCTGTGCCAGATAAAGACCTTTTAAACAAATCCTTCAATATTTTAAAACCTCTGTAGGTGCTGCTGTTGTCCAAAGCTGTTGTTTTTACTTTGGTTATATCACAAAACTGTTTTAATGTGCTTATTGATGATATTATGTGCTGCTCCAAACCAAGAGCTTTCACTGTTGGGTAGCATAGAAATATATGAAATAAAATAAGGGGGGAAGGGGACATAGCTGAATTAGCAGAGAGCCAGTGTGGTGTAGTGGTTAAGGGCATGAGACTGGGACTCAGACGATCCAGGTTCGAGTCCCCGCTCAGCCATGGAGCCAACTGGGTGACTTTGGGCCAGTCACAGACTCTCAGCCCGACCTGCCTCACTGGGTTGTTGTGGGGATAAGATGGAGGAGGAGATGCAAGCTGCCTTGAGTCCTTTGTAAGAAAAAGACAGGATATAAATCGAAAAATAAATAGGTAGGGGCACACTAATTTAAGATGTGTAGCTATGCACTAATGAAGACTTGACTCTGTGGGTTGCATTCCTTCAGTTGTCCTCAACCAATTTGAATACCTGGCAGGTATTTTTTGTTTGGTTAAGGATTATGCTAGGTTTCCCATTTGGAGAGGGGGCAAGGAGAACTGTTGAGAAAAATATTTACAGTTAAAAAAACCTTATTGCAGCAGAAAGTTATAGCTATGGAGCATGCCCCAGATTGCTGATTTCTTGATGGGCCAGCGGTTCATCTCATCCAGTCTTCTGTTCATACAGTGACCAACCATCCCAGCATCCCACAGGCAGGTCAGAAGTGTAACAGCTCCTTCCCATCCATGTTCCCCAGCTACTGGTATACACAGGCATACTATCTTTGCTACTGGAGGTGCCCCGCTAGCCATCAGGACTGGAATGTTCTCCTCCAGGAATTTGCCCATTCCTGTTAATCCCATCCAGATTGGTGGCCTTTGAATATAGTTGTATTTTCTCCATACATACACTGTCTCTTCTTCCCATCCAAGAGGAGAGTGAAAGTGTACTGGGACAGCAGGGAATGGCCTCCTGTTCCCTGCTTTCCAGCTATTAGTTATAAGGCAGGGATGGGAAGCCTACAACCCTGCGGATGTTGCAAGACTGTGACCTCCCAACTACTACTACAGACTCCCTTTTAATCCAGATGCTGAACAAGAAATGAGCTATGAACACAGTCCTTGTCTGCCCTCCCCTTGCGGGTTCTGCAGGATGGACATTTTGGTACACTAAGCCTGATACACTATGACCAGCATCCCTCCTCCAGGTCCCTTTGCCAAAGGAAGCTACCTGGGTGGCCACAAGTGAGAGCGCTTGTGGAATCCGCTCTGCAAAGAGATTTGCCTGACAACTGCAGGGTTATCTTTTCAGTACTAGATTAAGACTTTCTACTGGGCCTGTGTCTTTTGGTTCACTTTGTTATTCTTTTAAATATTTGTACTTGTATTTTCAACTACCATATGACATGTTAATATTTTGGTGTCCATCTAGAGATCATTCGTCTTTGGGTAGATTAGAATCATAGAAATAAATTTTATTTATTTATTTTTCGATTTATATCTGCCTTTTTCCTACAAAGGGCTCAAGGCAGCTTACATCTCCTTCTCCATCTTATCCCCACAACAACAACCCTGTGAGGTAGGTTGGGCTGAGAGTCTGTGACTGGCCCAAAGTCACCCAGTTGGCTCCATGGCTGAGCGGTCTTTTATAAATTTTAATAAATTGGTCTTTTATTATGTTGTATTTTGGCTTCTAACAGCTTTTGGATAGTAGAAATGAAGCAAATCTTGCTCACACAAGCAGTTTATAACCTAGCAAAAATTTCAAGGTACGGGGAGAGAAACATCAGTCACAACAATTTTGTGAAAGTGTCAGATTTCATGTTTACTGACATCCTGAGAATGTGGTGAGGAAACTGTATCTGTATAAGACTGAAGGTAGCACTCGGAAAAATTGCAGGATTATGAGAAATTTCCTTCTCTACACAATCTGTACAGATAGTGGAATTTTAAATAACCCATGTGCAGACATTTCCGTTTAATGTTAGGCATGGAGAATGCTGGTTATGATGCACCTTCACACATAGCAACATAAGAAAAAGAAAGGTTAAATGCATCAAGTGTGAAAAAGTCATCCCAGATTTATTCTCATATCAACAGAAATGCATCAGTAGATAGTCAAAAACAAAACTACACAGAATTGACTTAAAATGTCCGTACATTCACAATGCAGAAGAGATGTGATGCTCGCAACGCACCTTTGGCATGTTCTGTGTAACAAGATCCATATTTTAGTGTAAACAGGGTATGTTCTTACTTTAAAAAGTCCAGCAGGAAAGGCACAACTTGGCAAACATTAATCCTAGCCAAACAAAATAAAAATTAAAACAATTGAACACACACAGAGAGAGTTCAGGTGCAACAACATTACACAAGTTAAAAAAATATTAAATCCACATTGTTTCATGAGCCTTCCACATGAGCAAAGCCGGACTCTAAAGTCAGAAAAAGCCACATTTTTATTCAAGTCCTTTTAGTATCAAATGTTTAGCTAAATGTTCCATTGTAGCTTTACATCAACATACAGAGAGATCCTGCAAATTCAAGAAGAGTGGGGAGGGGGAGACCAAACACAAAACAAACCCACTCACCCCCACATATTCACACACACAACGTAACCTCTTCAGATATTCCTACCAATATATCTTGTTTTGGTTCAAATAGTGCACAGTAGCCTCTGCTTGGATCTCAAGTTCAAAACAGTGGTTATTTTATAGAAAAATAGACACTTAGCACTACAAAAAGAACAAAATAGTAATAACAATAATAATAACAATAATAATAATGAGGTAGATAACTTAGAATTCAGAAGACTATTTCAGTAACCTTCATACAATACAAATGTCATCGGGGCTTCGTTTTGGTCCTCCCCCCTCCCAAGAAAATGGAAACACACAAAAGTCTAGAAGGATCTTTGGGCCCCCAATAATTTTTTCTGCAAAAGGTTCTTTGAAATGGATTGGAACTGCTGCGGTTCATGCAGCTAAACGTTTGGGTGGATTACACCCTGATTTTCTAAAGTGGAAATGTAGTAACAAAAGAGCATGCCACCTCAAAGCACATACTTCATTTAAACACAGAATTAGACAGACTTTTTTCCTACTTGATGAAAGAAAATCCTACTGGACAAAAGATCAAAATGCACAAGCAGAGGAGACATCTGCTCCTGCTAAGGGAACCATTGCCAAATGCAGTCACCTGAGATTCCTGGCTGAACATTAAAACAAAACAAAACCTCGATCTCCTAAGGATTTGATTCCCTTTCAACAGTATATACAAAACTTCCACCCCATGCTCATTCCTCTTTCCTGATGTTGAATCTCTTCCAACCTGCTACTCCAGTTCTGTGTGAGGGAAGGGAGTCCCCTCCTGCCCTTCACTGCATTGAAAAGCCAGTGTTTTGCCATTGTGTGCCTCGGTCCATGTAGTATTTAAATAAGCAGCAGTCATCAGTACAGGATATGCAAGATTTTATCATGGAGTGCTGGCTTCAAAAAGTAATCTTGTTTTCCAACAGCATCCTTCTGCATAAATTGGATTTGCGCATCTCCAACAGGCTTTATAGCAATATTACATTCAAAACCACATAAACAAAATATCCCCCACAAACAAACAAAAATACATACTACTCTAAAAGGGTGGCATTCTAGGACCTTTACCCGCATAATTGTTTTCCACATATCAGCCGTGAATTCCCAGAGTGCCGTGCCCCCTTCTTTTTAATGACCCATAGGTTTTATTCTACTCTGCTCAAAGCCACAAATAGTTCCTATGCAAGCAGTAACAAAACCAACCAACCCCCCCAAACAAGAGAGAAGAGGTAAATTTAATAACCTTTGGAATTTCACATTGTAAAACCTCTATGGTTTTACACATTAAAGCAGTCCCCATGTAAGAAGTACTTTGCAAGACCCGCATCTTTCCAAAGACAGAGAAGAATCCTAACTTGGCTTCACTTTTTTTTGCGCAAAAACAAAGGGCATGATTGTACTCTGGACAACTCCTATGAAGACAACCACCAAATCATTTGCACGTCATTAGGAAAATAAGGATACTTGAGGTGTAATCTCTTAAAAATATATATTTATATATTTTTTATATATATGCTTCTATAGCAATTTCTTCTTTTAAAAAATCCATTCTGCCTCCTCTCAAGTTTTCTTGTTCTCAATTAACAGCAATTTTGTTCTCCTCCATAAAGTGGGGGAATTGGCATTTTGGCACATTGTCTGCAGCAGTACTACTGGGTTTCTCCAGCTCAACCCCAATTGCAGACTGGGAACTATCCATCTTGGACACTGTGGTGGAATTCATTGCTACATTGATTGCTGGACCTCCTCCTACTGTGGTTGGAAGAGAAGGGATGCCTCCACTCTGGATCACTGAGATCTCATTGGTTTTCATGGCCAAGCCATTACTGAGCACAGCAGCATACTGGTTCCATGCAGCAGAGTCAAGGTTGACCGACGGAGGCACAACATCCTTAGGAAACATCTCTGACACCTTCTTTGGGTCACTGCTGAGCAGAGCCATGGGGTTATCAATGGACAGTCTCCTTCCACGGCGAGCTGAATTGTTCCACATGTGAGTTCCAACATGGACCTTACAGAAAAGCAGCAGGGTGGGGAGAAAGAAGAACATCAGAATTACATTTTAATGTCTACTGATCCTGCAAAGGGTGGCAGGGATGGGGGAGGCAAAGGTAACCATGGTCAAAGCATTTAAAGTTTGAACAGAATGAACTGGGCCCAGTCCCTGTTATGCTCAGAGTAACCTTCTCCGGGAACCCTCCATGAAAGAAATTAGGAGAGTAAGTACCCGGAGGAGGGCTTTCTCTGCGGTGGCGCCCAACCTATGGAATTCACTCCCCAAAGAGGTCCGCCTGGCACCGTCGTTACTGGTTTTTCGGCGCCAGGTAAAGACCTTTTTATTTAAACATCATTTCAATTGTTAAAACATATGATCTGGCCGGGGCAACTTCTTCTTCCTTCTCTTTCTCCTCCTATATTTTTATTTTATACTGATAATTTTAATTCTGTATTTGTAAATCAATGTATTTTTTTGTATTTTTATATTTAATGGTAATTTATTATGTACTATTGTATTTCAATGTATTTTATCATGTTGTAAGCCGCCCCGAGGTTTCGGCAAGGGGCGGCATAGAAATGTTATAATAATAATAATAATAATAATAATAATAATAATAATAATAACAACAACAACAACAACAACAACAACAACAACCTGCATCAAGTCTTGGGCAGAGCTCCATCTCTCAACTATTCACAGGCTTTTTTTTTTTTTTTTTTTGCTATGGGAAAGAAGAGCTACAACTCTGTATGCCCTGCTCTGTGCTCCCTGGGGGGAAAGGATGGTATCAGATGTGAGAGATTAAGGGAAGGTTAGCAAGAACCCAGGTGCAAGAAGAAAAAGGCATGGATGTGGCACGCTGGCCGTACAGCATCTTCCCAGCAAGTTCTGCAGCAGCCGTCCCCAGCAGCTGTGCTGGACTAGCGTTCCCAGGATCCTCCAGCCAGCTGTGTGATCCAACAATGCTGGAGGACACCAGGCTGGGAAGGTGTGATCAATGCCAATGTAATACCTATGTGCCCCGAGTTATGGATTTGAATTGTGGAGGCTATGGGATGCTTTGAGGAGAAGGGGGGGATAGGCATAAACACGATCCCCCTCATTGCTCCACATCTAAGCTAAACATATGGGGGTGGGGATAGAAAGAGAGGGGCTGCTCCAGCTGGCTTTGCTTGGCCAAGGTCCAGTGACACAACTGCAAAGGGAAATCATGCTTATGTTCAACTGAATGTTCATGGGTACCCATAGGATAGAGAACACTGTGTGATCGTGTTACCCAGTCCTGTGAAGCAGCATTCTTCTGCACTGGTCTTTAGGAGCATGTGGGTGTCAAGGCAAGGGGAGAATGCACGTGGACGTGGAGGAGCGTGTTAAAAACAGAGCTATGCATAAACTGCCTGTCACAATTCCCCAGGCCAGAGAAATTGGAAGGACCGTTTCACCAGATTTCCCCAAGGGCAGGAGAAATTCTCTACCAGTTTCTCACAGGTAGGGCTCACCATTCACAGGCACCGTAGCCTCGCCTCCTTTTTTCCTAAGGGTTTTTGGTTTTTTCCACTGCCATTGCAAGTGACCCCAGCATCAAATGTGCTAATGTTTCTTCTTTTCCACATCACCATCAGCACATTTTATAATGACGTTTTTGAGCTGACCTAGTCACAGTGAGACGTTCTCTGGCTCTCTCTTTCACTCTCTCTGGCTCTCTCTGTGGTTTTTCCTATAACACAATTCTCCATTATTCTACAGCCTCCCACACCACCTACACTTCCCGAAATGGGGGGAAAACACAGGAGATATTAACTCATGCCTTCTCTTGGGTTGTACTTCAAATGTGGGACACTGAGGCCAGAGGCTGATTGTGCAGTGAAAGGAAGGGCACACCCATACGCTTCTCAGCCACCTCCTAAGTCAGGTAACCACAAGAACCTTGAAACCAACCAATGAACATTTGTCAGAACTTTTCTTCTGAATTCTTTTTGAAAGTGATTTCTGTGAGATTGCATGAGAATGGTAAAAAAGTGGGGGGGGGGATTCAGCCTAGCACTCATTACAAGAGCAACCCACCTTTTCTACGGCCATCCCATACCCACAGTACCACAGAGGTGGTCCCTTCTCACATACTCCCTCAGCAATATCCACACATCTGATATACCTGCTGCCTACACCAGCACTAACTCTGGTGTAGTGTTAGTGCTGGTGTACACCTTGCAGATAGTGTACACCTTGCAGATAGTTTGCTGTACATTCAGGGAGGCATAAATACAAATTACTAGATATAGAGTGCAATCTTAAGTACATTTATGCAGAAAAAAGTCCCAAGAGCTTTGCCCTCTAATTACCCACAAGAAAAAAAGTGTTACAGAAGAGAAAGATGGTTGTAGTGTTGGAGTAGAAGCAGAATTATGTCCTAAGGATGCAATCCTATGCATGTTTGGACATTAAGAAGTCTCATAACTACTAGCACATGAGGGGAGGGGAGGGGAGGGGAGGGGAGTTGGAAGGGGCTTTGATTCCAGCTCCCTGCTCCACTTTCACCTACGGTCACCCATCCAGCTGCAGGCCCACACCTTTCAGCTCAGCAAAGATGACTCAATACGCAGAGTCGTGGGACATTTTCCTGCCCAAACATGCATAGACTTGCACCCTGAATATGCCAGTTCTTTTTCTGTACTAGGGCCAAATATCTGTCAGAGGATAAGATTTCATACAGGAGGAAGTGCTGCACTAGAAACCTCCAAGATGAAATTTCAGATTTCAACTGGTTCAACATAGCTAGCAATATTTGCATTAGCTATCATATAAGCTTGGCTACACATGCAAATTAACAATGTGGCAGATATATAAGGCAATAAATTAACTCACTTCAAATACTATATGGAAGATCACATATTTCAGCAAAAGCTGATCATGATGAACTGGCATATCAGGGAACAGTCCAAAACCTTCTTTCCCCAAAATAGTTTTGATTGGTGTAGTTTACCATGGTGGCACTTTTAAGCACTCCAGTGTTCTGCATATATAGACTGAGCCTCAGGTCTTTGCTTTTAGTGGAGGTGTGGGCAGGGGGGAATGACAGCAGCAACTCAGTCCTATTGCATCACACAAAGCATACAGCAAATGCAGGAGAATTCTGTCATCAGCAGCAGATCCCCTATAATCTAAAAAATTAGAAGGACTGGGTGGCGGGGGGGCATCATCCTATATTGGGTCAACTAAGAAGCCAAGTAAAGCAAGATCACCACCACCACCTCACCGCGGTGCAGCCAGGGCGGGACCTGGGGCTGAAATCCAGTACAGGGAGCTCCCCAGTGACTACCCTAAGAGTGGAGACATCAGGACTTGGGCAAGTGATCACCATAGCATTCTTCTCATTCAAAAGGAAAAGCACACTGTTGGATAGCAGCCAAGCAGGCATGTACAGAGTTGCAGGTATACACATATCTGAAAAGTACGTGTTCCTTTCCTACAACAAAAATGAAGTTTATGCCCAAGTGGATGTGTTCGGCCTCATACTTCTAGCATCATCGTGACTACAGGCATCAAGTTTCTCTGCATATTTCTTGTTTTGAGCAAGGTTGGCAGAGAGGTTTTTGCTTTGCTTGTGTTGAGGCGGTTGCTGCGGCACTAGAAAGTTGTTGCAAAGCACGGAGCAATGGCGGTGTGCATGCTGTGCAAATGGGAACTGGGACATTTCACCAAGGCATGTTTGAGAGGGAGGAGACCACTGGAAAGCACGCGCACACGACGCACCTTCCCCCCACAGGCAGGGGCACTGTGTCTAGTCCTTCCGTGAGCCCAACGCTTGCCCTCATCAGTTCTTAATTGACCGTAACCAAGGTGCTGATCTCAGCTTAAGGCGGCCTGCCTACCGCAATAGCCACTGGGCCTACCGGGAGTCATTGCCTTGCCCTTGCTCACCTTCAGGTTCCCTTTCGTGGTGAAAGCTCTTCCACAGATGGTGCACGCAAACGGCTTTTCGCCCGTGTGAGTCCGCTCATGAATCTGAAGAGCACTTGCTGATGAGAAGTTCTTGCCACATGTGGTGCAGATGTGTTGTTTTGCAGTACGGCGAGGGAGGGGCACCAGAAGAGGAGGCACACCAGGCGACAATGCGGGAGGACCAATAAAATGGCTCGAGCTAATGGGGCGATCGCTAGGAATTTCCATTTTTATTAGAGCTGGCGGGGCTCGGACAAAAGCCGTGTGGACACTGCTTCGGCCTGAAGAATAATAAAAGGGACAGGCTACGCATCAGCATGCTGCTCTCACCGATGTTACATGCAGTACTAGCTCCAGGTTTTTGAGGCCCTTGAACAGGGCCGCCTCAATGGGCTCCTTCCCTTCTCATCACCACTGTCACCAGCTGCTATTGCCTCCTAATTCTCCCTCTCCTCATTGCTACCATCAGACAAAAAGCCATTGAAGCCAGCTGGCCGTGGCATCTACTGTTCCTCCTCCTCACCGTGTCCTGGGTCACAGTGAGCCAGAAGTGAATGTGCAGGTTGCCATGATAAAAGAGAAGCACCAACTCTTGAACTCTTTGCCAGTGGGCCCCTGACACCCTCTGGGCCCTTGGCCTGTGCCCAACCTTACCAATTCTTGTGCCAGGCCTGGTTACATGAGTAACAAGGTATTTTGTGGATGCATGGACCTAGCTTTATCATATGTAAAAAGAAAAAAAATGAGCAAATATAAACAATATGTAAGATCACATGCTCAGTTGGGGATTGATAGGAGAGCCCAAGGTGGTTTAGAAGAGAAACTGCTGGTAGTATATTTGTTTTCCAGAGAAGGGAACAATACATACACCATGAAAAGAAAAAAAAAACTCTTATAAAAAGTAAACATAAATCTTTTTAAACCCCAGTAGCGGAGAAGCAACAGAAAGCATAAAAAATGTACACTGGAACAGCTTTCAAGCATTTGTTTGACCGATCACTCAACCCTTTAGACTCAGAAGTGGTTTTACAAGAGTTCTGTAGATATGTGGGACAACTTGGCCACTACTTTTGTAGTGAGTTGCACGAGGTGGATTCTCTGTGATCCACCGTCACGCTGCACCAACATCACAGGAGGGTCGATGACATGTGGCCATTATGCATGAGTACTTCACATGTTCCCATCAACCTTGATGAAGAAACAGGGAAAGGCTGACACAATGATTGAGCTATTCTTATGTTATTAGAACAGCACAGACAGGAGTGGCTTGTGGCAGTCTTGTGCAATCTTTATTTACTATGTCAATGTTATTGGGAGCAGTTCTTATTAGATCCGTGGTGAGTTTTCGCCAGTTCACTGACACAGTCAGCTCCATTTCTCTGACATCTGGGTCAGAAGAGATTGTGTGCATTCTGAACCGTTGCCTGGATGCGGTTATGGCTTGGATGGGGCTAATAAAAGGATGCTGAAACCCTGTAAGACAGACACTCCATGGGTGAGCCATTCCCGGGCTGTTTGCCTGTTCCAGAGGAGCAGGTGTACAAGTTCGGGGTGCTCCTGGATCCACCTTTAGCACCCAGGTGAATGCAGTGGCCTGAAGTGCACATTGCTCTCTCTGGCTGGTGCACATGCTATGCTCATTTCTGTATATGGACAACCGTATGGACAGCCATGGTGATCCATACCATTAGACTACTGTAAACTGGCTGAAGGCAGGGACTGGAGGTGCTCTGCCTGCTTTGGAAGCTGCAGTTAATGCAAAATGCGGCTGCTAGGATGCTTTCTGAGACACCTGGCTATATTCACCTAACCTATGAGCTAAGGTAATGGCACTGGCCACTTATTTGCTCTCAAGTCATGTTTGGAGTTACGTTTTTCTCTAGCAGATGGACTTTACACACATACACAAACACACACGGAGAGGGAGAGGGGGTTGAAACCAACTCAACCCTCCAGAAAACTCTCCTGTGCAATTTTGGAGGCAGAAAAGGTGGTACGTTTCAAATGCTTCCTGCAAATGCACTTTTTCACCCAAGCATTCTCTGGCATATAATGAACAGCAGTTAATCACAGATTGCCCCTATACTGTTGCAAGTAACTTGGTTTGAAAAGGGTGCCTTAAATATGGTTTGTGCTATTACTGCAATCGAGATGGATTTTAATAATCATTTCTTCCTATTTATATGTGAACCACTTATGAATGCGATTATAGTAAATGGTATATAAATATCACAAGTGTGTAATTAAAACTCAATGGGGGGCTCAAGGCAAATATGAAACCAGCACAAATGCAGAAGCTCTTGTGCATCGTGACTTGTGGAGCCAAACCACACATTACTTTAAATCCTAGATGAGTGATTATGGGTCCTCTTGGGGCAGAACCAACTGAAAAATCTTTCAGCTGACTATTTAAAGACCGACAAGTTTATTCTGTTAAGGATTCCTGAACACTTTAATGGTGAAAGGCGTGATTTTAAATTCATATCTAGCAGTTATACTGGCATTCATTTTTGCTCTACGGGGGCCCAATCTTGATTTTAAAAATCTCCTGACCCTACCCTACCCTACCCTACCCTACCCTACCCTACCCTACCCTGTGCTAATTCCCAGATTGGGATTGGCCCTTCTGTGCCTACTCTAGGGTAAACAGCAACACCACCACCACAGAGCCACATCAGTTTGGTCCTTAGTGACCTCTACTTTGAGCACAATCCAGTGGGGATACATGTGGTCTTCCAAACTCAAAGTCGCTTCCATATGCATTTGTCCTGCAAAATGGAGAGCTGGTTTCAGACACTGAGCTGGGGGACCTGAAGGGACTGAGGGCGTGCTAGGACACTTTAGATTCTGGCAGCACTAGTTGCCCCCTCCCTGCCGCCAAACACCCACTAAACTCCTCTGAGGTTGCTATTGCAACCTTGCAGCTGTCATGACACACCGTTGGTTGCTACTACCAATTGGATGGTTTAGTGAGGTCCTCGGATCGGCCCCGGCCCTGGTGGAGTGCCGAGAAGACAGTCAAAACTTGACTATCTAGAGAAAGTAAAGGTTGTAACAAGGTTTCCATAGGTGAACCTGCGGAAGGATCATTATTGGGTATGGAATGCACTTCCACGGGAAGTGGCTCAGGCCCCATCGTTGAGGGTGTTCAAGGATAGGCTAGACATGCACGTGGTGGGCATGTCGTGAGCGGAGCGGGCTGGAGCCAAGGGTCAGGCAGGATGGCCCGAGAGGCCCCTTCTGACTGTTTCTATGTTTCTTTTTCCACTTGCTGTAATGAGGGGTATTCAAGTGTAGCTCCCCCGCTCCAAGGTCAGAGTGATTTCTGACCTTGGAGAGGGGAATCTGAGCCATCTGGGGTTGCTCTGCAAGACAGTCACACAGCACAGCTTCATCCTAATCCAAGCCGCCTCACATTAAAAATACCGTGGCCACTGTTGCATGGAGCCACAGAATGGGGTCGTGCTTCCTGGGGGTATTCACGCTTCCCCCACCCTGTCCATGTTTGGCGAAGAACAAAAAAGGCGCCTCAGCATAGGCACATAGCCTTACCCCCATGTTTGGAACACAAGGTGGCCAGAAACCCTACGTTAGAGAGGACAGTCCTCTATTTGGAAAGCTGGCAAAGAAATGTTCTTGATTTAACAAGGTGTCCCATCTAAGCCTGCCTTAAAGGCTCATCCTGCACAGAGAATAGGTTCCTATCAGTTCTTATATCCATAGTTTAGTTGTGTGTTTTGTCTTAAGTAAATTAGTGTGGGAACAAAAACAAACATTTAAATATTATTTAAAGCTTTTACAAATACCTGACAGTTCAATTCACATGTTCCCTATGGGGCTACAGTTATAAACGCTAGTTTAGGAGTGGGCACTTGACCATAAGGCTCATTGGTGGACCGGTCACTGATTCTCAGCCTAGCCTAGCCTAGCCTAGCCTAGCCTAGCCTAGCCTAGCCTAGCCTAGCCTCCCTCACAGGGTTGCTGGGGGGATAAAATGGAGAGAACCATGTACCTTACTTCAGGTTCTTTGCAAGAGGGGAAAAGGGCAGGATATAACTGTAACAAATGTATAAAACTATTTCACAGAAGGAGTCAGTTGTGGCTTCCTGCTATGCCATTCTGATGTGCTTGCCCACCCCAAACTGGGCCAGGACGCAATCTCCCCTGCCCCTTTCCCCGTCCTGCACATGGTAGGCATGTCATGAGTGGAGCCAGCTGAAGCTGGGGGGTCAGACAAGATGGCCCAGGAGGCCCCTTCTCACTCTGTTTCTATGTTTCCATTCTCCCCAGTGAGGCGGAGGAACTACATATTCAGGGAAAAATGCAAAGGGCAAGCTTGTTGTTTCCCTCCACCAGCTTCGTTGAAGTTCACACATAATTATTTTTAATAATAATAAGAATACTTTGTATGCTCTGTTACATACTCAGATATAGAGCTACATAATATATAAGTAATTAGTTCCATGGATCTTTTCACATTTTATTCAAAATGTGTAATGTTTTAGTTTTGATCTCTTTTCTTTTTCAGTGGTGTAGTTTGGGAGAGGGTCATATTGCCATTTAAATGATTAAAAAAACCACCTAGAGCAGGGTGGTACAACGTTTCATACCTGAAGAGCCACATAAGGACTTCAACACAGAATTTGAGGGCCACACAATGAATTACATTTCCGTATTTTGATTGAAGATGGTTCTAGTACTAACTGAATGAAAAAGAACACTTTGTGGGCAGAGACCTCTGCAGCGATCACAGGCAGCTCCTTCTCCAACCTCAGCCCAAGCACAATGACCGGTCCTCTGGGGTGGCCCTCCCTTTCTTCCATTCCTCCCACCCAGAAACTTCTTGTACTTCGGCTGGCAAACTCTCCCAGCATGTTCCTCTCTCTGCACTCATCAGCTGGATTGGTGTGAGGCATGCTGGAGCAGGTTCTCACAAGGCCACCAGCCTGATCCATTTTCTTCCTGAAGTTCAGGAAGAAAGCAGAATGGGCCAGTGGTTTCAGGAGCGCTCACCGCAATCATGCCTGTGCCATCACTGGGCCCTGGACTGGGGGTGGAGGAACAGGGGGGCTCTGAGTGGCAAGAGGGCTACAGAACAAGGCCTCGGGGGCCACATGTTGGAGCACCCTGTTCCAGAGCCTCATCAATAAAAACTATCATGCAAAGCACCACATGTCTTTAGCAGAACATTTAACTTGTCCTCAGAGACTGGTTGGCCTGGCAGAGACAATAAGCTTTTACAGATTTAAATTAGTATTGATGACAAACCTTTCTTTATTTTAATGGACTTACCATACTCTCCATTTGAGAAGTGTAACCCGGGTTCCTCTTTGATAACCTTTCGACCAATATTGCCATATGTTAGATCCAAAGCACTATCCCTTTCCAGGGAATGGGTCTCAGGGGCTTCAGCCTTACTTCCCACCACTCCATCTTCTTGGGCACTGAACCCTGGAGACTTGGATCTGGTGCTCTCTGCTTGACTGTTGGCTGGAGACAGTGCCTGGAAGGAAGCCGATTCAGAGGCAACAGGGCTGCGGCTGCCATTTTGATAGTCAGCATCGCCTGCCACCGAGGAAGAGTCATTGGTCATGCCATCACTCTCTGCTGAGCCATTATCACTGGACTTCAGGCTGCTTTGCCGTTGTAAGCTCAAAGTTGAATTTACGATTTTCATCTGGTTTTCCAGCACTGAAATACTGGAAAATACAGAGGTTGAAGGATCTGCTTGAGCGCTGCAAGAAGCTAGGGGTTTAGAGGAGTGGCTTGGACCATCCAGCAGCTCGAGGTCTCCTTCCATCTCCATACATTCTACATTACCTTCTGGACAACAAGGATCTCCATTCTTCTCGGCTGCAATAGTCTCTACATCCGAATTGTCTCGGGTGTTTTCTGGGACTGGCGTATTGGGGATCTGTCCCCCCATATGCATACGAATATGCTGCTGCAACACCACTGCATTTGTAAACTTCTTCTGGCAGATAGGGCAAGAGTGTTGCATCTTTAATGGGGTATTTCCACGATGCACCCCATAATGGGTCTTGAGGTTGCCCTTAGTAGAGAAGGCCCGGCCACAAATCTTACACTTGAATGGCCTCTCACCCGTATGAGTGCGGTAATGCATCTTGAGGGAACTCTGGCAACTGAGCACTCTGTGGCAGATCAAGCACTTGTTGGGGTCTGCTGTGGACTTGTCAATGTTCTCCACCAGCTGCTGGAGCTTTGTGGTTTCAGAGCCTTGCTCTCCAGCTCGGCTGACAGGAAAAGCACTCACGCTGCAACTGGCCTGCGGAGAACCCCTGTTCTGCTCAACTCCTGATTCATGGCTCGTCACGCCTGATGAAGAACCTCCTTCACTTTCTGGGGAAGGCCTTGGCTGCGCATCACCCAGAAGAGCACTGGCAAAAGACTCCTTGCTACTTGCCAGGCCAGAAGGGTGCTGAGGTAAGCCGGCACCCACCGAGGTAGGCAGTGTGGTCAAGATAGGCTTAGTATCCACAATGAGATTGGATTCATCTAGTGGGACAGACATCCCATATGGGATTCCACTGCTCGTGGGCACATTGTCTAGGTGCTCAGGTACTGGGTAAGGATTCATTTTGATGTTAGGATACTTGTCTTTATGCCGCTGGAAATGCACTTTGAGGTTACCTTTGGTTGTAAAGCGATTGCCACAAATGTTACATTTGTAGGGCCTTTCGCCGGTATGGGAGCGGAGGTGGATTTGTAGAGCACTGTCATTGCCAAAGACCTTGCCACAGAACTTGCACTTGTGTTTGAAGAAGGACTCTTCCACAGCTGGCTTGTTTTCAGACACGTTCACATTGGGCAGCTTCCCTTTCCCCTTTTTTGAGGGGTCAACTGCCAGAGAAACCGCAGAAAGTGGGTTCTGGAAGATGACCGAGCTGGATGGCTGAGGTAGCAAAGGGCTCTGGAAGCAGGACATGGAATTTGGAAGGCTTCTGCTTGCATCGGGCTTCATGGAGATGGCAGGCATGAGCCCGCCAGCCACGGAGACTGCAGCCGGAATGCCAACACTAGAATGAGGTAGTTTGCCTTGTTTCAAGGATTCCAGGGATAGGCTTTGGTTCCCAGCTTTCTGTCCAATTAAAGCCACAGCAGCTGACACTTGTTGGGACATGTGAGCACCCAAAGCTTTGAGGGGGTCTGTGGCAGCAGCAGCTAGAGAAGAATGCAGGACATGGGGGGCCATCATCGCAATCTGGATGCGGATTTGCTCTGTCAGCTGGATCTGTTGCAGCTGCTGCTGTTGTAGGCACACGAGCTGCTCGAGGATCATGGGAATCGCACTGAGGTTAGCTGATGATGGAGAGGGGGCCTCCGAGGTGCACTGGTTGACAGCCACTTTAGTGCCACGGATGGTCTGCAAAGTCACATTAGTGTTGGGTACTTTGGGTTTGGGGAGATAGCTTAACCCAAGGGCTGCGGGCGCAACCGGGGGCTCTGTTTTTAGGTACATCCCTCCCACTGGCTCAGCCTCGGCACTTTCTTCACGCTTTTCCCCAGGAGCCGAGCAACTCTTGGTGTGATTTTCCTTGGCTGTTCTACTGTCCATCTGATTGCTTGAGAAGCTCCCCGAGGAGCTGTCGGAGAAGCCTGCCAAGGGCACGGTTCCCTCTCCATCATTCATGATGAGAACAGGCGGCATTTTAGTGCAATTTTTCTTATGCTCAAGGAATTCAGAGAGATCAAAGAACTCCGCACAGCATTTCTGGCAGATTTTGGTTTCCTCCGTCCGGCACCTTTTGGAACTCATTTCGCCACCTCTGTCACCTGGGAGGTCTCGTGGACTCCCTGGAAAAAAATAAGAGAGAAGGAGTTCTCAGAGCAAAGAAATGGCATGAACAAAGCATAAACAGAGGTCTGTGTCTAAAGAGGTGGATGGTAGACCAAGACATTTTCAAAGAAGAAACCAATAGATTTTCTAACCCTTTTTCCAAACCCAGATTTCATCTCAGTGATAAGGTGAGGCAACTTTGCAGTTAGTTTTCCTTCAAGCTGAAGACTGTCCTCTGTGAAAACAGACATATAACCACCCTGCATCTGATGATAACTGGCACTGGCGCCATCAAAGAAAAGCTGGTCAATTTGGAAGCTACCCAGTACATCAAATACCAGGTGCCACCACATGGGGGAACATATTTATTTATTTATTTATTTATTTATTTATTTATTTATTTAAAACATTTCTATGCCGCCCCCATCGCAACAAAGCCTTGGGGCAGTTCACAACATTCATAAAAATACAATTAATAATTTAAAAACTGGTACCATCTCAGCTATATATATTAAAATCTATAAATACAATAATAATAAATTAACAGTTAAAATAACTTTTAAATAAAAAGGTCTTCACCTGGCACCGAAAAGCAAATAATGACGGCGCCAGGTGGACCTCTCTGGGGAGCGCATTCCATAGGTGGGGCACCACCGCAGAAAAGGCCCTCCTCTGGGTACTCAGCCTCCTAATATCATTCACGGAGGGTTCCCGGAGAAGGGCATCAGCTGCCGATCGTAGGGGGTGGGAGGACATATATGGACGCAGACGTTCCTTTAGATAACCAGGTACCAAGCCATTAAGGGCTTTATAGGTCATAACCAACACCTTGAATTGGGCCCGGACTTCAATAGGGAGCCAGTGAAGCTGACGGAGAACTGGGTTTATATGAAAACAATGCCCAGTCCCCGTCAGCAACCTGGCAGCTCTATTTTGCACCAATTGAAGTATCCGGATCGTCTTCAAGGGCAGCCCCACACAGAGTGTGTTACAGAAGTCTAGTCGGGAAGTAACCAACGCATGGGTCACTGTCGCCAGGCAATCGTTCTCCAGGTAGGGACGCAGCTGATAGATCAGCCAAAGCTGAAGGAAGGCGCTCCTCGCCACCGCCATCACCTGAGTTTCCAATGACAGCTCAGGGTCGAGGAGCACTCCCAAGCTGCGAACCTTGTCCCTAAGAGGGAGTGCAACCCCATTCAGGACAAGGTCCAGGTCCCCCACCCCGAAGCCTGAACCACCTACCAACAGGACCTCTGTCTTGTCTGGATTGAGCTTCAGTTTATTGGCCCTCATCCAGCCCATTACCTCGGCCAGGCACCGGTTCAGTACAGCCACTGCCTCACCTGGATTGGTGGAAAACGAGAGGTAGAGCTGGGTATCATCAGCGTACTGATGATTCCACAGCTCCTGATGACCTCTCCCAGCGGTTTCATGTAGATGTTAAATAGCAAGGGGGACAAAATGGACCCCTGCGGGACTCCATGGCATAACTGCCATGGCGCAGAGCCATAGTTCCCCAGCACCACCTTCTGGAATCGGCCACTTAGATAGGAGCGGAACCACTGCAAAGCGGTGCCTTCAACTCCCAATCCCGCTAGCCTATCCAGAAGGATACCATGGTCGATGGTATTGAAAGCCACTGAGAGGCCCAAGAGAAACAACAGGGACGCACTCCCCCTTCTTTCTCCCTGCACAGGTCATTGTACAGGGCGACAAAGGCAGATTCAGTACCGTACTTGGGTCTGAAGCTGGACTAAAATGGGTCCAGATAATCAGTTTCATCCAAGAGTGACTGGAGTTGTCCCGCCGCCACCTGCTCTAGCACCTTGCCCAAGAACGGGATGTTGGCCACCAGTCTATAATTGGCGACCACCTCTGGATCCAGGGATGCCTTCTTTAGGACTGGCCGGACTAACGCCTCCTTTAAAGGGGCAGGTACCCGGTCATCTCTTAAAGAGGTGTTGACCACCTCCAGGATCCAGGTCACAATTCCGTCCTTGGCATTCTTGAGTAGCCAAGATAGGAAAGGGTCTAGTAAGCAGATGGTAGGATGTACTTGTCCAAGCACCTTGTCCACATCATCAGGCTGCAACAACTGAAATTCATCCATCAATTGAGGACTCGACGGTGTCATTGGCACCTTCCCAATAGAATCTGATTCAATAGTAGAGTCCAGCTTGTGACGAATCTGAGTGATTTTCTCCCTGAAATGCTTGGAGAAGTCATCACAGCGGGCCTTCGAGGGTGGCACAAGATCCCTTTTTGGGCCCAGATTTACCAGCCCCTGCACCACCCGAAAGAGCTCTGCTGGACGGCATTGTGAGGAGGCAATGGAAGTGGAGAAGAATTTCTTCTCCACCACCCTCACCGCCACAGCATAGGCCCGATAGTGGGCTCTTAAGTGTGTTTGGTCAGATTCATTCCACCTCCACCTATGCTCTAGACATCTCCCAACCCGCTTCATCGCCCGTAATTCAGGTGTGTACCAAGGAGATGAACCAGCTCTGCCAGGTGGGAGAGGACGCTTAGGAGCGATCGTGTCAATAGCCCTGGTCATCTCCCCATTCCATAGTTCAACCAAGGCCTCGACAGGAGCACCAGCCTTATCAACTGGAAAATCCCCCAGAGCCTTCAGGAATCCATCAGAATCCATCCAACTTCGGGAGCGGACCAGCACGATCGGGTCTGCACCCTTACAGAGGGAAAGGCTGCTCTCGAGCTCAAACCTCACGAGGAAGTGATCTGACCATGACAAGGGCGTCAAACTTAAATTCCTCACCCTCAGATCACCCTCTTTCTGCCCCGTCGAGAAAACCAGGTCCAGAGTGTGTCCACATTCATGTGTCGGGCCACTGACATGTTGAGACAGTCCCATGGCCGTTGTGAGAGGGCGACATCTCCCCCACCCCCGCCCAGTTCTCTGTGATACAGGCCAGGTTGGCCCTCTCATCCACGATCAAATCGTGGATGAGCATTGCTTTATTTTGGACTGACCTGGCATTAAGCAACAGCACCGTCAGGCCCGGGGGGCAGTTGACAGGGCTACTTGGAACCCTCTGGCTGGGGGAATAACCAGAAGGAGGAACAGGTGTTAACCATCTGTCCCTCCTTCTTCTATGTGGACCCGTTAAACCCCCAATGCCATAAAGTCCATTGTCCATGACCACCCCAATGGTGGCGCCCTCGTGCTCCCCAGGTGACAAGATACACTGCCATGTGCAGACACCTTAGCCTTCTTCAGACATGAGGCTGCAGTTGGGGAATATTTTCAGATCTTACAAGCATCACATGTAGGGACTCAAATGTTCAGGAAAACTTCTGGTTGGGGTTCTTGCAATGGCTTTATGGCATTCAAAGTCAAATAAACAATAGCCCTGTCACACAACGTGTGACAATTTGAGAAAACAACCAGAATGTTGGAAATGAAAAGGACTTTTAAACGAAATGCCTGTGGGCAGGGATAGGGCAATTTCTCCCCATGCCCTACTCTGTCGATAGCCACCAGGATGGTTCTCTCCCATCAGGGAGTGACTGTGGCTCAGAAGTAGAATGCACACATGCTCAGTGCCCCAACTTTCCAGGTAGGGCTGGCAGAACTCCTGCCTGAAACCCTGGAAAGCCACCACCAATCTATGTTGACAACACTTGGTCTACATGGACCAAGAACTAGACCATGTTAAGGCAGCTTCCTATGTAGATATAAGTACCAGACCTTACATCTCCCTAACCCACTTTCTGATGCTCCAGTTGTTAACTGCCAATTACTTGTGTAGGCAAAACAGTACTGTCAATGTACAAAAATGGGTATCAGCAGTCTGAAAGGAAATGAAACTTGAAATTTGCATAGATAAGGAAAATCCTTAGGCTGGTGGTAGGGCAGATGAAGCCAAAAGTCCCCTGAATGGTCCAGAGAGAAGCAGGCTGAAATGCTGACCAGTTGTAGAAAGTGGAAGACTAACCAACTGGAACACGCAGAACACTTCACACAATAAACAGTTTGTTGCACAGCCTGTGACAGGGATGACACGTGTACGATACACAAACCTAAGAGCTGCTGCCTCTTTCCAGAGACATTGATCAATACATTCATTTTGATCCTGCCCTAAATTCAAGAGTCTCACGCCAAGCAGCATGATCTTTCTGCTGGTCTCAATTCTTTATTCACATCAGCCCTATGAGGTAGCTTGGACTGAAGGAGAGGGGGAAAGAGAAGCCGAAGTTTGTTCAGTGGCTTCCCAGCTGAGTGAGAAATTGAACATGGCTTTCTCAGTTTTTATCTATTTCATTTTTATACTGAGGCTCTCTGCATGGTTAACAGTTGTAGTCCAACCACTTTACTGCATTGGCTTCTAGACAATACAGTTGGCCCTCCACACTCGTGGTGGTTAGTGGAGCAGGAGCCCATGCAAATGTGTCAAAATTGCAAATACCGCTAGCCATCCCTTACCAACCTTAACTCTAGATACTGTTGACCATGCGTGTACTGGATTGCTCCTCTCCCTCCCTCTCCCTCTCTCTCTCAGACCTTAGTCTGATCCAAGAGGGCTCCTCTTCTTCACATATCACTTTCTTATATTCTTATCCCCTGTCCTCCCTTTCTCTCACCAGTGCCTCCTCTTTGCGGCAAGGAAATGCCGGAGGAATTTCCTTCTCTGGATGAGCAGGGCAGGAAAGCATGCTTTGGAGGCCCCCCCTCTCTTCCCTTTCACTCCTCTCTCTATGGTGATGCTTTGGTGGCCTTCCCGCTCTGCCCTTTTACTTTCTCTCTCTCTCTCTGTGGTGGTGGTGATTTTCTGCAGTAAGCCACAAAACTCCTGTATATTCTCATTTAATTTTTGATCGCAAACTCGCAAATAATCAAATCTGCAAAAGTTAAATCCATGAAAGTTGATGTGTGACTGCAATTTTGGCTATTGGACAATATAGAAATATAAAATCATCATCATCATCATCATCATCATCATCATCCCATCTCCATAGCTGACAGCTTTAGCCTTGGACCAGCTCCATGACATGC